CAACAAGTACCATATTTTAACGTCTTTTGGTATGAAGAAGTCGGGGAAATTAGAAATAAGAGTAAGGTTTCCATTATTGTGGAATATATACCCATTATGTGCCCAAGTTAGCTAAATAACAAGATTCCATTCAGAATTCGAAGATACCGTCCAGGCAGTGATAGACTAACGCGCAGCCTTTGAATTTCTATACTTTTGAAACAGAGACTCACTGGTATGCTAAAACCAGACCTGTGCCTTCCGGGTCTGTTGCAATACAGAACGGGCTGGGTGGCAGGGAAGTTTATATGGTTGAAGGACTGTGAGACAGACTTATACCGTGAGACTGGTGATATAGGGATCTCTACGGGGAGCGTACCGGATCAATGTATTAACGGATTATCCCTGCTCTTTATTCCCCTTTCACTTCACACAGACGCACGATCAACCCCTTACTTGTTGGTGGGAAACGACCCTGTCTTCCACGCAGGGGGAGTGGTATACAAACACCGCACGGTGGAGTCGGGGAGAGGTTGGGGACACTTATCGATATTGTAGACAGTAACAGTATTACAGCTACACCATGGCGACCTTCAGGCAGAATTGATAGATATACAAGGGAATGTGTAACTGCCGAAATACAGCTACTACCAAGTACCATATGGGCAGCGTTTCAAATAACCGCCGGCCCAGTGCCTTCAGTGGCCTTCAGTAAATTATCTGTCAGGGATTTGTTTCAACTGGAATCTTTCCCATATTTTTTCGTTATTGACGTTCGGGATCCATGATCCATCATGTTACGATAACTTACAGTTTCACTTCCTGGTATTTCAGCGCTTTGCGCATAGGTATGTCAACACCAGTCTTTAACAAATAACTACTTCTCTGTGTGGCATAGCCTTCGGTAATTGATTTCTAGAAACAGTGTGAAACCGTGTACAATGTATGTAGTCTATTTTCTTTGTATTGGTTTGACTTTTTAAAAATGGGCCTGCAGATTTCATTCAGGGCCTCTAGATTTTAAAGCCTGCAGGCGGCAGCAGGCCCTGATGGCCAACTGGCAACTTAAAGTATTGCAAACACTGCATATGGAGTGTATATAGCACATATAACCAAGTACCATATGGAGTGTATATAGCACATATAACCAAGTATCAAGTGGAGTGTATATAGCACATATAACAAAGTATCATATGGAGTGTATATAGCACATATAACAAAGTATCATATGGAGTGTATATAGCACATATAACCAAGTATCATATGGAGCGTATATAACACATATAACCAAGTATCATATGGAGTGTATATCTCATATAACAAAGTATCATATGGAGTGTATAGAGCACATATAACAAAGTATCATATGGAGTGTATAGAGCACATATAACCAAGTATCATATGGAGTGTATATAGCACATATAACCAAGTATCATGTGGAGTGTATATAGCACATATAACCAAGTATCATATGGAATGTATAGAGCACATATAACCAAGTATCATATGGAGTGTATATAGCACATATAACCAAGTATCATGTGGAGTGTATATAGCACATATAACCAAGTATCATATGGAATGTATAGAGCACATATAACCAAGTATCATATGGAGTGTATATAGCACATATAGCAAGTAGTATAACCAAGTATCATGGAGTGTATTTAGCACATATAACCAAGTATCATATGGAGTGTATATAGCACATATAACCAAGTATCATATGGAGTGTATATAGCACATATAACCAACTATCATATGGAGCGTATATAGCACATATAACCAAGTATCATATGGAGTGTATATAGCACATATAACCAAGTATCATATGGAGTGTATATAGCACATATAACCAAGTATCATATGGAGTGTATATATAATGCCTTTATTATTCCATATCGGAACAGGCCTAATGACGCACTGTTGAATATTCCAATATCACGTTGTTTAAATACATAATGAGTCTAAATGTACCATCAGTCATACGAACCGCTCTCGTCGTGAAGCATAATGAAATCAGTTGTAAAGTATTTTGAAATTACATATACAGCGCCCTATAATAATTCCATATGCAATAACAGAACTGGGATAAGGTATATCCAGGGGGCACGTGCCATCGTTTAGGTAGTGGTTAGGCCTCGAATGGTTATAGTCCGGTAAGGAGGGCTACACTACCGAGAACGTTTTTACCTAAATAACATATTGAAAGGAAGATGCAGACTGAAGTCTACAAATACACCAATACCACAGGTATCACAAACTGCTCACTGTCCGTGATACTAAGAGACTAGTCAGTTGCAAGGTATAAAACACCCACAAGGTTGCAAGGTATGATATATAACACCCACAAGGTTGCAAGGTATGATATATAACACCCACAAGGTTGCAAGGTATGATATATAACACCCACAAGGTTGCAAGGTATGATATATAACACCCACAAGGTTGCAAGGTATGATATATAACACCCACAAGGTTGCAAGGTATGATATATAACACCCACAAGGTTGCAAGGTATGATATATAACACCCACAAGGTTGCAAGGTATGATATATCACGCCCACAAGGTTGCAAGGTATGATCTATAACACCCACAAGGTTGCAAGGTATGATCTATAACACCCACAAGGTTGCAAGGTATGATATATAACACCCACAAGGTTGCAAGGTATAATATATAACACCCACAAGGTTGCAAGGTATGATATATAACACCCACAAGGTTGCAAGGTATGATATATAACACCCACAAGGTTGCAAGGTATGATATATAACACCCACAAGGTTGCAAGGTATGATATATAACACCCACAAGGTTGCAAGGTATGATATATAACACCAAGGTTGCAAGGTATGATATATAACACCCACAAGGTTTCAATAGAGGTTGGTAGAATCATCTTGACAAGTTGGTGTTCCAATCAAGATAACTCTGATGTGTAGGGTTAGGTTCAGCATGTCCCCTGTGTTCACAAAGAAGAACCTGTACATCTTTCAAGCTGGTATTGTTAATTATCATCTAATGGGGGTGTTATCGGTGCAATAAAGCAATCTGATAAACTTGGTATCCAAATCTGATAACTATGCAAATTACGTCAATCCACGAACTACTTTCACAAAACTCCATACACGCCATGCTAAAACGTTTTTACATTTCATTGATGACGTCGTAGCGAATTTTTATTGCGTGGACGAGTTTGTAAAGGTAACAATCTTTCAAGACATGATCCTTGGTAGAGTACAACCTTTGATAAAAAGACTTTGCTTCAAGGACTATATTGCTTGTACTTTCTAGAACAGACCCGTCTTCAAGCTCCAACTGGAGACATGCCCTTATTCACAAATTCCTATTTTCTAGATTGCAAAAATAACGACTAATCTTCTCCCCTTCGTCTATCCACTTAGCTCTTGAGCGAATAATAAAGCCTCCATTTTAGATTTGCGATTCTCCTCTATCACTGTCCCTTTTTTCCTCCAGTTCTTCACAATCTGATAATTTGGTTTCTAAACGTCCTAAACGTTTCTAAACTCGCAGGATTATTATAAACCCATTCCTGTAAGGTAACAGACAACACCCACCCATACACACCCACCACCCGCCACAGATCGAGAGAGAGAGAGAGAGAGAGAGAGAGAGAGAGAGAGAGAGAGAGAGAGGGAGAGAGAGAGAGAGAAAGAGACAGACAGTCAGACAGACATACAGAGAGCGCGAGCGAGAAAGAGATAGACGGACAGACAGATATACACAGAGAGAGAGAGAGAGAGACAGAGAGAGAGAGAAAGAGACAGACAGTCAGACAGACATACAGAGAGCGCAAGCGAGAAAGTGATAGACGGACAGACAGACAGAGAGAGAGAGAGAGAGAGAGAGAGAGAGAGAGAGAGAGAGAGCATATTGTATTATGCACTTTGTACCTGAACATTCGGGTAGCAGAAAACAAATCTGTGACCGGCCCGGGGCAGTTGGCGACTACCTGAATCCACGCAGCTTCATCTCTGGCATTTATACGTGTTCGCTGTTGTCGCGTAAAGACATCATGAAAGTAGCAACGTTCACATCCTTTAAAAATATCGTAAAGTGTATGGATAATCATGATTTTTAAGACTAATTTGGGTGATTGTACGGCGCTTCTGCAACTTTGACAGTTTTGATATTTATGTACACCTAGCTGTCCTGATGCTGATGTTGATAGTTGTTGATGACGTTCACCTCACCCCTCTGCCACCCGGAACATTTTGTTTGTTTGTTTGTTTGTTTAACGCCGCTTTGTGTGAATTTGGAATGCATGGATACCAAGGTTTTTGGAATGCACGGATGGCACAGTCCCATTTTGTACCGCTATGTTCTGTACAATAAAGCGCACGTTAAATCTCCAAACATCATCATCATCATCATCATCATCATCATCGTCATCGTCGTCGTCGCCATCATCATGAAACCGGGTAAGAATTGGTCTTCAGCAACCAATGCTTGTCGTAAGAGGCGGCTAACGGGATCGGGTTGTCAGGCTCGCTTACTTGGTTGTCACATGTCATCAGTTCCCAATTGAAGAACGATGCTCATGCTGTTGATCACTGTATTGTCTGGTCCAGACTCGATTATTTACAGACCGCCGCCATATAGATGGCGTAAAACTCTTTGTCTTGGATTGTCAGCATAAGTCCTGTGAAAGTTGGTTTCACCAGTGTATCAAGACCTACATCAGTGTCTACTGTACTTCCAAATCAAGCTGTCACACCGTGATAACGGCGATACCGTTCAAAGCGGCGCTGGTCCACTCACTCACGTACGCGTCAATGGTGAGCGGGAATTAAACTGTCAAAACCCAAAAGATAACTGAAAACGTTGATTTTTATTGTGTTTAATCACAGGCCAATTGTAGCGCAAATAGGGTTGCGCAACAAAGAGAAAATGACCAGTCTTCCCATATGCGAGCGAAACGACGCTCGCATATGGAAGACTAGTCATTTTCTCTTCTTTGCTGCGCAACCCTAAGTGCGCTACAATTTGCCTTTGGTTTAATTAATGAAGCAAATGAGTAAGCCAATGATGCGGGCTGTTTTAATGCTGCCTCGTCAGTATAGGGTTGTCCTGTGTCATGCTATCCGATGATGCCCGGCGATGTGTCCGTGAGGAGGGTATCTCTCCTGGGTATGGTGTATCCCCCCAGCGTTGCAGTGGTCGGAGACACAGCAGTAGGAGCAGGAGAAGGCCTCGTAGTACTTCACCATGGGACTGAATGTGCTGCAGTCACGCTGGTGAGGTGTCGGGGGAGACTGGTAGGCTTGGCACTCCGTCCTGTTGGCGCAACTATACAGCAGAGCAACACTTGTACTCAGGGGCAAAAGAAACGCCACCATGTATTTGTCAACTCCTAAACAACACAATCCTTAACAATATCACATTGTAACGTTTTATATTTAAGAACAATTTTGTATAATAGGTGTATACAGACATGAAACAAACGGACTTGCATTTAATGTTCTGTCGACACATCTGTCAATTATGGGTTGACTGTCCAGTATTCGAGAACTATAACCTGTCAAATCACAACACCGAAGCGTGATGCTGAACAGAATGGCCACCTCGAGTGTCGACGCACACCCTAACACGACGTCGAACTGAGTACACCATCCTTCTGACAGCGAGATCGGGGATCCAATGCCATTCATCCTCTTAACCTGCCCTTGGTTTCCACATCAAACTATGTGTTTACGACTTATCCCTAATCTCCGGCGTTGATCTTATTTCACAATATCAATCACATGATTGTTCGGTCCAGACATGACTTCATCATAAAGATGGGATATTTCTGACAGCAGCCATCAAACAGTATACTCACGACTTAGTGTAAGACGTGGCCCCGGTGTCCATGTTGGTGACAAGAGTCAGGCAGTAGGGCTGTGACGGAGGACAGGCAACTACCTCGCGGACCACGAGACAGCCCACCCCCTTGCACACCGTACACAAGGCTGTGGATATACAATGTACACATATACGCATTGGGTTTTATAGGGTTTACTTGGGTTGGTAGTTGGGATTCGTTTTTGTTGTTTGGGTTTTTGTTGTGTTTTTTTGTTTAGTTTTGGTTTTGGTTTTTGGTTGTTTAGTTGATTTTAGTATTTTATTTTTCAGTTTATTTTATTTCATTTAATTTTTTTTATTTTTTTTTTTTTTATTTTTTTTTTTTGGGGGGGGGATGTTGTTTTTTTCTAATTACTGTCTTTAAATCCCATTACATACTGCACATAGCATCCATAAGCCATTTCGACTGCGTGTGACTGCGCATGTGATATTTAAATCAAGTCGATTTTCTCAAAATGTAAAAATGCGTGTTTTTGAAGGTTCGATTCACCAGGAAAAGAGCAGTTTTCAATACTAATAATACATTTTGGAAATAATTGTAATTTCTTAATTCATCGGTGTGACTTTACTGTTCGTGTGAATCCTGACGTTTGACTATGGTTTCGAGAGATGACATTAAGGTTAATTGTGTTCACACCTATATTACAAATCGCCTTCTCAAATGTCCATGCAATAACAAGAGGTATCACAGTAAATGAAAACCTTGGTGTTCTTCTTGGATGATTTTGTTGTTTAACGCCGCACCCTGCAATATTCCGGCTATATGGCGACAATCCAGTGATCAACAGCATGAGCATCGATCAATGCAATTGGGATACGATGACGTGTGTCAACCAAGACAACGAGCCTGACCACCTGATCCCGTTAGTCACCTCTTACGACAAGCATGGGTTACTGAAGATCAATTTTAACCCGGATCTTCAAGGGTAAAGTGATCTGGTTCAGTATATGCTGCATATCTGTGCTACACGGGTGGTGACCATTAAGCAGGGGTGGAAATAACTTTAAAATTGCTAGTGTACTCCGGTACAGTGGAACATGTGAAATCACATGCCCTGGAAATTTGTTCCACTATACCGGCCTTTTTCTTGTTGAATTTTGTAAATAAACAACATAATTAACATTGGAAAGTCAACTGGACGCCGGTACAGTGTGATATACGAATTTGCTTGCCCGACAGAAAAAAACACTGGACTCGGACGTCGGGCAATGGGTTATTTCCACCTCTGTTGAGTGACTCTACGTCATAATTATCAGGATGAGTCACAGTTGTTATGGATACGTGGAATACTTACAGTGGTACCGTGCACCACGATATCCTATCTAACCTACCATGAACACAAAAGTCATGTGTATACATGTCTCTGGTAGCCAGTTGCAGTCATTAACTGCTTGACTAGTGTGCCCGGATTATCGGGTTATCGGGTTATCGTACCAGGTGCATTTGGACGTAAAAGGAATATTGTGGTTGGGAACTATATGGACAGCGTTGACAAAAGTTGATCACGAAACGGCTCAGCATGTCCTGCTCTACAGGCAACCGACGTCATTCACACAGTTCGCATAAATAAGCGTTTCCTTTTGCTTAACGCTGCACAATGTAACACCTACGATAAGACGGCGCAAGTAACCACTTGACCAGACATTCCACAGATACGATATATATATCGTTGACCCAAAAATCTTAACGTACAGTAGGAGTGTATGGACAAGATAGGATCTGCTGGGTCTTGCACCTTACCGCGACTTACCTAACTGTAATAACTACTTCAGTACCTAACTACTTCACTTACTTGGTTTGACTGTTGTGGTTGGACGGAGCGTCGTTGTAGGCGGCACTGTTGAAGAAAACAAGTGCAGTAACATTCCAGTAAAATCCCAGGGTAAAGTCGTTCTTAGGTAGATATTCATACAATATTCCTGTGGGACGCCAGACACATTGGCAATGGCGCTGTCAGAAGAACAACAATGTGTAAAGTGAGTGAGGAGGTTTGTGTAGGGACGGCGCATGTTGCAATATTCCAGCAATATCACCGCCAATGACACCACAAGGGCTTCACATATTGTACCCAACATAGGGAATCGACCTGAAGAGTGAACACCTTAACTACTCGCCTAATCCACCTCCCAGCTTTAATAAAGAAACTTCAGTCTTAAAAACTACTTTTCATCGCTGACGGCTTGAGCTACTCTAACGATTTGTTCCTAGAAAGTTTGTTTATGAAATGAGGAACTGGGTTTGTATGTATTCTATATTGAAAGTTCCGTGTATTCACATAAAACATGTCCAGTTGTTTGAAACGGTGTCAAAATATCCTTTTCCCACGTATCTGAAAACCCCGTTTAACGGCTGATTGGTACGGTGTACAGGCACTGAGCACCCAGAAGACATCAGGTCCTACCTGTGCAGTATCTACAATAGCGAGGGCAGTAGAGAGTGGCCATTGGAGACTTGGCCCCACAGATCCCTGACGTCTTGTCCAGGCCCGGGCAGTTAACAAACACACTGTCTTCACACGCCAGGGTAACTGAAGAACACGTTGTTATACATCTACATATGAGTCTCAAAGTCCCTGAACCGCATTATTTTCCCTTCTGTCTAACCCTTTCTGCAATGTTAAAGCTCTAAATGAAGCAAGTCTAGATTTCCTCAGATTTCTAAATCTCCCTTATCACATGGGCTCATTTTTAATAAAAAAGAAATTGTTTTGTTTCCACCAAAGTCATTTATATTCAGAGGCAAAGCGTTAGTTTAATGAATCTAATGAGTCTCTATTAACTGCATGTGCACTAGGCGGTTTGTTGGAACTCGAGAACCTTACATTAAAATGATTCCTCATAGTTTGAGGAACATACAACGTAACACCACTATCTTGTAACTGCTGCATTTGTTTATGTTTATGTTTGTGTTTGTGTTTATGTTTATACTTATGTTAGTTTGAGCATTTAGCATTATTCTACGTAGATGACGATCACATATAAATAATAAAGTATGGACCAGAAAAAAACAGTGATTGGTATTGAGAGCTTCTAAGCATGCCATTCAGGAGCATATATATTGCTTTGAAACAATTTTAATGCGACGTGTACGTCGTCAAGGTCACGAACAACAACATCTGAACACCGGGCCTCACCGTCTTCGCAGACTCTGCAGTACCGGGGACAAAACGTGTGGGTGAGGTTGTTTCCCAGAGCACAGATTCCGGCCTCGGCGTCCAGAATGCTGCAGTCAACGTTGCTAGCGTCACGGCAGGTATTAGCGGATGACGTCGGTGATGGTTTCGTGGACATCGTCTGTGCTGTCGCCGTTGGGTTGACTGACTGTTCTGTCGTACCTGTGTCTGTAACATAGATTTTATTCTAATTCCTCCCGCAGTACTAATGTCATGACAGTGTTAGTAATCATCTTCCTGATTATTGCAGGGGTAGCTTAGTGGTTAAAGCGTTCGCTCTTCACGCCGAAGACCCGGGTTCGAATCCCCACTTGGGTACAATGTGGGAAGCCCATACTGATTGTGTCAGCCTTAATGTATCTTTGTTTACGTATTGCAACAATTGCAGGACTTTATCATGCATAAACATTTCAACAGTTCATACACATGTTCAAGGCTTGCCCTGGATATGTTCACGTTTAAAACCGAGTCTTAATGACTGTTACGTTTTTCGGGCCATATTAACCTCATATCAAGTGTATAATTGTATATGTGAACCCACCTATCTGGCAGTTATCCCCGCTCCAGGGTGGGGTACATATGCACTGGTAGCGGCCGGGGATGAGGGGGTTAGTCCTGCACGTGCCGTGCACACAGGGGCTGCTGACACACTCATGCAACGCTGTTGAATACCGAGGTACACAATATAACGGTCCATGACATCCAGCTATGTGCCCTAACATTTGTTTCGGGCGAAATATTCTACTCTTGAGGCGTTTGTATGGAATACTGTAAGGGACATTCTCGCGATCTCGACCTTTGGAAACAAGGTAGCACAAAGTGCGAGAATGCGAGATCGTGAGAATGTCCCTTACAATATTCCATACGTATGTATACAGTAGCTACAAAACACAAATAATATTGCCACAGACTTTCCCGAATCCTGGATGAAGGTCACATGTCCAGCCACTGTCATCATTACCCATAACGAACCGGGTCCCGTTCCGCAAAGCGATCGTAGCGCTAAGATGATCGTAACTCCCATACTTTAACATAGACTTACGACTGTCGTAGCGCTAAGATGATCGTAACTCCCATACTTTAACATAGACATACGACTGTCGTAACGCTCAGATGATCGTAACTCCCATACTTTAACATAGACTTACGACTGTCGTAGCGCTAAGATGACCGTAACTCCCATACTTTAACATAGACTTACGACTGTCGTAGCGCTACGATCGCTTTGAGGAACAGGGCCCTGGAATTGCACGTGCACCCTGGTCATCGTGTGCACAGTTTACCAACAGTAAGAGATTCGCCACACATTGAACGTACACGGGTGGACGAGACAATTCGAACAAAGGCAAAATCATTTTTATCTTTCATCTTCTATTGAGGAAAGCACATTTGATGACATGCAAAACCTCATAAAGTTATACCACGTCTGTCCGAAAAGGAACCGGTGCATTTGATATCCTTGAAATCGGCATTGCGCAAAACATTGTTGCGTTGTGGAGTTCATCGTTGCACAATACAGTCCTCTTGGGCTGGTACATATAACCAAATGAATTTACTAACATGTGTCCAATAAACGAACATTGTTCACAGAAAGACGTTTGTGACCACATTGTTTAAATAAAGCTGTGTCCGTGCCTTTATCTGGTATGTATACGAACCTGTTTCACAGTGCACCCCTGTAAATCCGGTGGGGCAGATACACCGATAGGAGGAGCCTTCACTCTGACATTCATTCAGCCCACACGGTTCGGCGAGACATGGATCTGTTCAAAATATGCACAATCGCAGAAAACTGTTCAGGGACATTCTGGAGTTCTCGACATTTGTGAGCAAGTTACTTAACATCAGGTACCTTCTTTTAACGCCCTATGGTACAATACAAGGTGGGAATCGAGCCATCGACCTTCCACTCTCCGAGCCGTCGCTCTGTCCACTGGACTATAGTGTTGGGAATTGGTTAAAATCTCTTAATTGATAATTGGTTCATCACAACCGATCAATCATCGAAATTAATTGGTAAGCGTCATTTATCAAATTTTCCTGGTTATGTTTGTTAATGCACAAAAAATAAAGAAAAGACATGTAGTTCTCTCGTTTTTTTCCGCAAATTGCACAAAATGCATTTGCAAATTTCACATCTTTAAAGGATGACTAGTGTGTTAGGAACATACATTTCCTGGAGTTGTTAAGATAAACTTAATCATGACTTGGAACGAGCTTGTAGTACTTATGCAATGTCGAGACAAAATGAACCTTTTGAAAAATATTGTTATTGCAAACAAGAGGTCCAAAATTGTTTGTGTTCGATTATGAGAAAACATGATCGATTGCTTGGTTGTTTTGTCATTGCGACCAATCTTCGATTATTTCAATTAATCGGACCACCACTACTGGACTACGGAGGTGGTGGGCACACGGTGAAGCATGAGGGGTGCATACACAAGCGGGCACACGGTGATGTATGAGGGGTGCATACACAAGCGAACTCGCAGGCTACTATTTATTATATCTATTATTTGAGCGAGATCCCGGAAGCTCAGAGGTTCGAATGCCATGGATACATACATTACAAGATTGTACTTGTAATTGCCCTGGCTTTCAGAATTAAGGGAGGAAGCAAGGGGTTGAAATTCATTCACAGACCTGAACTAGTACAAAGAGTTACAGACACATAGAATGTACATTGCGCCTTAAGTAATTCTGATCGTGACTTGAACCTTCCTATATTTGACTATGAGAAGATGTACAAATGAACATTTGTTCTTTTTCTTTCATCTTGTCTGGGAGACATACCTGGAGGGAGCATGGTAACCCCGATACATTCAGTGTGTGACTCGTCACTGCAATAGACAACAGTATGTGCGGATTATCAATATAGGAAAAAACCAATGTATATAGAATGATCACTACACAACAATCCACGCTGATCATTCGCCACATGTCGAAAATTGTCTGCATGACAACGATTTATTTATTTCTGTGAGGTATTACAAGGCATCTTGCTTTATAAAACACAGAGAAATAATTCTTCTTTTAACCGAGATACAAGCGTTATAATGGACAGTATGGAAAATAAAGACTGAATATATACACCAAAGACCAGTTGACAAAATCTAGATATTTCACAGTGTGCTAGGATCTGCTTCAGTTTACTATTGAAATTCTAAACCTGTTACACTACAACTACAACTAAAATTATGGTCATACTGCAACTCAGGACACACGAATGCGCATCACTTTCACGCACCATCATCTATGGTGAACAGTTCACACTTACCCGCCATCATCCACAGCCTTGAAGCAGGCAATCTGGGGTCCTGTGAGAGACGAGGTGACAGTCACGGCTGCTCTGAAGACCCTCCTGCCCTGGTGTACTGCCCTGGTCACGTTGGTAACCTCCAGGTCCCCTGACAGGGTACTGTACGCCACTGCCACCTTCTGGATCGACCTGCTGCAGATGACATGATGTTCAGTGTGTCTACAGGTTGTTTACTTCACGTGTGTAGCACACTGGGTTAGAAATGACCGAGTTCACGTGATTCACATGCACTTGTGTATCGTGTGCGCCACACACATGTAAACCACACACACGCACACACACGCGCACACACAAACGCGCGCGCATACACACACACAGATGTAGAGACGAACAAAACACACATACACAGTAAGGTAATGACCAAATCTAATTCTGCTTATTGTAGCCAAACAGAAATAAATATAAGCGAAGAGGACTTTCAAGATGAGTGTATTTAAAATTCAAACCGGCATCCACAGACGTGAATGACCAAGCACTGCGGTCTCGGCGGAGACTGAACGGTCCCTGTCTAACTACCTGCCATCATTAGTTGCTGTGTAGAGGGAGAAGGTGCACGTGCTGCCTTGTACACAGCTCACGGCGGAGTCCACGGGCGTGTACACGAAGTAGGGGCGTGGCTGCTGCAGACACAAGAATGACATCATCATCATCATCATCATCATCATCATCAACATCATCATCCACCATTGTATCCCGAATTCCATTTGACTGCTTTGGTAGATATTTGATCGACATGAACGTCACCTGGCCTTAACTTTTGTATTATTGAAATATTTTCTAATTTAAAAAGTTCTAAATGAATCTGTGAGTAAACTGGAAGAGGTGTGGTACTGTGTTGTCAGTTTAGCTGAGTGCATGTCATGCCGTCGGGTAGGATGGCACACAATCAACCGGGTGTGATGTTGTAACCACCTGATACTGCTTGTATCAGTCTCTTACAAGCATGGGTGGTATTTGATCCAAGATAAATAATATCAACAGCCTGACAAGCACTGGATTTCAGAAGAAAATGGGATCCCTGTGTCATAGATGCGAACATGAGGTTCCTTAAGATAATAATATAGTCTACTAAGTGGTACTTACATGAGGTATAACATTCATAGGGAAGTCTGAAATGAAATGTCGAAGTATGAAGAATATATTAATTTATACGTGTTTTATTTTTTAAATATGTTTTCCTTTATTTTTATATTTAGGTTAAACATACGTACACTCTCTCACACACACACACTCTCTCTCTCACTCTCTCTCTCTCTCTCACTCAGTCTCTCTCTCCAACATACACACTCTCACACACTCTCACACAAACACACTCTCTCTCACTCACTCTCTCACATACACACACACACACTCTCACTCTCTCTCACATACACACACACACTCTCACTCTCTCACACAAACACACTCTCTCTCACTCACTCTCTCTCACACACACACACTCACACACTCTCTCACTCGCTCTCACATACACACTCTCTCACACACTCGCACACACTCTCACTCTCTCACACAAACACACTCTCACACACACTCTTATTCTCTCACACACGCTCACACACACTGTTTTACTTTATTTTTATATTTAGGTTAAACATACATACGCTCCCACACTCTCACTCTCACACACACTCTCACTGACACACACACACTCTCACTCACTCTCTTTCACACACACTCTCTCTCACACTCCAAAACACATTTATTTGGCAGTACGTAGTTACATAACGCAACACAAACTGTTATTACCTTTTACAGTAATTATATAGTGTCTGTCCCGACCAGCCTGCCTGAAACAGGAACAACGCTGTTACACCCCCTGTGTGGAATACACACTTGTTCAGGTTTACGTTTATTTAAAACACCAACAATATGTAGACATATCCATAACCAAACTACTGGACAATTCCGAAACTTTGGCCTCGAGTAACATATAAATATGTCATATTAAGTAAAAGGTTTGGCTTTGTACTCTTACACAAGTACAGTTCTACACCATGTCTGTCTATAGATCAAGATGTTAATGAGTATCATGACAATGTAACGATACATTATTTCATGTGCTCATTCTACAACGAAAGTCTCATCACAAGATACCTGGTCAATACGCCTTACCCGCGGCTGTCCATCACGGTGACACCAATGACGTGGACACCGACGTCGTCAGTTTGTGGTGTCCACGTCGCTTTGGCATAACTCACGCTGTCATTGACTCTGGCAACGTCAACGTCTGGCGTGGCCACAACAAACTCACGGTAGGGGATTGATCTTACAATGAAGACTTCAACGCCACTGCCAAAAGAAGAACGCGTATTTGAGTATAAGGGCAGCCATTTCTAACACATGAGGGATAAATATTCAAGTTCGCACATGCAATTATTATTATAAATATAACCAGTCTGACAGTTACACGTTTACATACAACGATCGGTTGCCGAATTGATGACGTACCCCTGGTTGGGCATAATGCAAGCAGTACAGTAGTGTTCCAGTGATATTTCAGCGATACTTCACTCAGATGGGGTATGCAGGGTAACCTGGTGGTTAAAGCGTACACTCGTCACGCCGAAGACCTGGGTTCGATTCCTCACAAGGGTACAATGTGTGAAGCCCATTTCTGGTGTCCCTCGCCGTGATATTGCTAAAAGCGGCGTAAAACCATACTCACTCACTTTAATTTACATAAGGGTAACCATGTGAATAGCTCACGTCCCTATCTCCAGATGTCAAACATTGTTGTCTGATTTTTGTCACTCACTCACTCACTCAGCTTTTGTGCTGATTGGTCCTACAGCCAGTGTATTGTTAATGATATGGTATATATGTTATATTCAACCAACTGTAAAGTATATGTTATTGCATACTTGACTGTCTTACTGTCTTTCAACAATGTTGTATTTGATGTTTAGGTCGTGCTGGTATAGTGATGATGGACGTACAATCCCTCATTCCCCCCTGTCAGTTTCACGATTAAAGAAGAACATTGTATGTGGTGAAGATATTGAAAGGTGGACTTACAAAGGTGAAGCTGCATACAGCGGTATTTCCAGTTCTGATCCTACAGTCACACTGAACTCATGGCCATCGGTAAATGTCGGGTCGACAAACTCAGGACCATCCAATACACGCACTGTCTGGATCAGGAACTGAAGGGAAAGACGTACTCATACTGATCACTATCAAACTTGTATCCATCGTAACAAGCACAGTCATTTTAAAAAAGGGGTCAGCAACAGGGGTGGTGGGTAGCCTGGTGGTTAAAGCGTTCGCTCGTCACGCCGAAGACTCGGGTTCGATGCCCCACATGGGTACAATGTGTAAAGCCCATTTCTGGTGTCCCCCACCGTGATATTGCTGGAATATTGCTAAAAAATCTGCACTCGAGGCATTTAATGGCAAGTTCAGCGACCTTTTAAGTAAACTCAAGCGATTAGTTGCCTTTACTCTCAGGATGTGGGTTTGCATCTCGAAAGATACTCCACTAAAACCGACTCTTAATTTGTTCTTTAGCAAGACCATGTTATCCCTAATACGTCCCTGTGATATGGGTTTTCCGACACTTAAGAACCATTCGTTGATATCGTTCTAATCACCGCTAAAAAAACATCTCGCAAACTTCCAATAGTGACTTTATCCAAAACACAAGCCATCATTCAGTAATCTGTGCTGCACCTTCGTGAGCACTGCCGTCCGAAAACCTATGATCCAACGACAACATTATATGCAGACGTATTTGTACTGACGAGGTTTACGTTTACGCACTTACTATAAAGATATAAGTTAATGATTTTCGCGATGATTTTCCCTACAGTTGTCTCTGAAGTCACACTTTACTAACCTGGAGTGGTACAGCTGAGATTCCGAAACCTCCAACAGGATGGTCATTTGAGATGTTCAACAGGTTGTTGTGTAGAACTATAGGTCGTCGGTTAAAGTCGCTCACGGACACAGTCACCACGCCCCATCCACCGTCGATAAACCCGTCAGACTCCATCGCAGACACCCGGACGGTACAGTCCTGGAGACAGACACCTTCATGAAGCCAACAGGACGAACCACAAAGCTACACACACGTAAGAAGAACGGTAATGGCACTGCATTCATGACTCATTCATGAGTGTGTTTTGTTTAACGCTTCTTTGACCACCATTTCAGTTATATGACTACATATCTGTTTGATATGGGAGGGAATCCCGAAGTAATGCAATACGTAGACGTTTACCTGAGCTTAACCCAAGAGCACGGGTATGATGCAAACAAAATTTTATCCGACCCGTCTCATGATTTACAGTCTTGTTTTAAACTTTTACCATCTGGACGTAGATACCTCGTCCCTAAAGTTCGCAGAAAATGGTCCCAAACAGCTTTTCTACCTGTTAGCATTAAACTTTTAAATGAATGTTAGAACTTGTCACAATTTTAAATGCATTTGTCGACTAGTCTCTTACAGTATACACTGGTTATCCTTCTCCTCCTGTTTATTTGTGTGTTTAAGGTGATCGTGTTTCTGTGCTTAATTTGTCTTAACCAAATATTATGTTATATTATATTATATTATATTATATTATATTATATTATATTATATTATATTATATTATATTATATTATATATAATCTGGATTCGAACTCATGATCATAGGTTTCCAGTCTACCAAAGGGACGCTCATGTCAATAAATTCCTGAAACTATTCCATCAGACCTCGAAGACAAGATTGCTTCAAGTGAGTATAGGTGTTGGCATCTATGGTGTTATATAGAGACACAAGGGTACATTGTGTGAAGACAAGATTACTTCAAGTGAGTATAGGTGTTGGCATGTATGGTGTTATATATAGAGATACAAGGGTACATTGTGTGAAGACAAGATTGCTTCAAGTGAGTATAGGTGTTGGCATGTATGGTGTTATATAGAGATACAAGGGTACATTGTGTGAAGACAAGATTACTTCAAGTGAGTATAGGTGTTGGCATATATGGTGATACAAGGGTACATTGTGTGAAGACAAGATTACTTCAAGTGAGTATAGGTGTTGGCTTCATATGAGGGTATTGTGTGAAGACAAGAGTGCTTCAAGTGAGTATAGGTGTTGGCATGTATGGTGTTATATATAGAGATACAAGGGTACATTGTGTGAGGGACAGATAATGTGCAATACAATTACGTACAGCATTGACTGTAATATTTGGAATGGGTTTTAGTATTCCTGTAGAAAGTTCGCAGTGAACGAAGTCGCCATCGCTGTCGTAGGTTGCCAGGCGGAATGTTGTGATGTTGTTCAGTGGTACTCTGCAAAGCAAGACAAAACGTTAGCGGTCATCATGTTCCGTTCTCTCTAGAATCGAACAAAAATTGACAAAGTCGATTCTGTGGTGTGAAGCTGACAATCTTAGACACATTGGTGCGGACAGGGATTCTGGCGTACCCAAGAGTAACCAGTGGCGCCTCAGACAGTGCCCACTGAAATACATTCCTTACACAAGCTGAAAGATGAGTCAGCATCTGGTTTGTGGTCAGGAGCCCAACCTCCACAACGCACCTGTACACATTCAACAACGCTACTGTTCAGTTTCCACAACGCACCTGTACAAATTCAACAATGCACCTGTACAGACTCCACAACGCACCTGTACAAATTCAAAAAGGCACTGTACAGTTTCCACAACTCACCTGTACAAATTCAACAACGCCCCTGTACAGACTCCACAACGCACCTGTACAAATTCATGAACGCACCTATACACATTCAACAACGCACCTGTACACCGGCTGGAACATCACCACGGGGCCGTTGTTGGGGACACCTGTGTCACTCCTTGCGAGGGAGGTCAGGTTCACCTGCAGCCGATACGGTACATCTGTCCCATCCTCGTAATCAACATCCCTCCAGTAATCTCCCTGGAAACTGAAAACTGTCTTCTCCTCAACATCGCACTGTATTCAATAATTCATACAATGATATTGCATTATTTTTGCACGAAATCAGGAATCAATTCAAATTCCAAAGACTGAAATATCAAGCCACAACGTCGCTGTAGCTATCCTTGAGGACAGTGGTATATGTGCACAAAAAATCTTAGCGATATATATTCTAACACAGATTTAGAGATTCCAAGATAGACATGGGACGGTTTTGTGCAACTGAACCCAGGCAAAGTGCTACGTTAACGGTTGTCTTCTCTGGCTGATGTACACTCCACGGTGCCATTTATCTTTAAATCCAAACTGTACTCACTAAATAGTATTTTATCGCCAAACGAACAAACAACATAATATAATTAATCATCCTTGCACATACCTGATATCGCTCCACAAGTCTTTCCGATCTATGTCCAGGTCAAAGCTGCCAATGTCTTGCTCCTACTGAAGCCTCTGATCGATACCCAGCACGTGACCATCAAACATACCGGAGACATGTTCCGTTATGTCGGTCGTACTGGTACTGGAATAGCTCGTAGCTTGGTACCACCTGCCGTAGTAGTCGTCGCCAGTGACGTTCATCACATCTGATCTGGTTATGTTGATGCTGCTGCGCACGTCTGCTGTTGTGTAGTTGACGCCGCAAGGGCCATAACCGAGCCTCCAGGATGTTATGGCAGTTATTGTAAACTGAACAAAGATTGATAATATTGTGCAGAAAGACATATGAGGGAGGTTAGATAAATAGAACCAGTTCATCACATCACCACGGTGATTCCATGCTAGACAAAGCCCTCAGCAACCGATGCCGTAATACACGACCAAAGGGATTGATGGTCCGGCTTGGTCACATGGATGACGGCATGTCAACGTATTCCGACGGAGGCGGCGCTTATATCAGTCACTGGATTGTCTGGTCCACTCTCGATTATTCACAGACCGACTTGAATATTGCTGAGTGTGACGTTAAACCATGAGTGAACAAACGAACACACTAACAAACAAAGAATGCAAGCAAACCAACAAACAAATGATCGGAGGGCAGTCAGTGATGAGCATGTATGTGCATTTGGTTTTTGTGATAAGTCATTACTACCATCATGTTAACAGCAACATGCTTCCCGGCTTGATCTCACAACCACGCCCACATCGTGTCTGGACTAGCAAGAACATATCACATCAAAGATATGTACAATCAACATTCACAGAGAATATTAAGCTGTGATGACGCTGTCGTAGCTTACGCTGTATGTTGACGGTGGCGAGTCCGCCAGACTATACGTCATGAAGCCGCCCATGAAGTTGTCGCCTTGGCAACAGACAGGCGTCACAAGGACCACCAGCAGCAGCAGCACAACACTCTTCCACCACGTCCTCCAGCTGGGTGAAGACAGCACTCTAGAGAGCACACATACATGCCAGCTGATGCCAATTGTAAAGAAACTGAAGGTAGTTTGATGATAATAAAACTAAAACATAACAAACGTTACATTACAACGTCACCACGATCCTATTTCGTTGAATGTGTAAGCTATGGTACCAATGGCTGTGGATGCTCTGGTACCCTTGGCTGTGTGAGTTTTAATAACCTTGGCTTTGTAAGGTTAAATAACGTTGGCTGTGTCAGTTGCAGTAACCTTGGCTTTGTGAGTTGCAATAACCTTGGCTTTATGAGTTGCCATACCCTTGTCTGTGTGAGTTGCCATACCCTTGACGGTGTGGGTTGCCATACCCTTGGCTTTGTGAGTTGCAATAACCTTGGCTCTGTGAGTTGAAATACCCTTGCCTGTGTGAGTTGCAATAACCGTGGCTGTGTGAGTTGCAATACCATTGGCTGTGTGAGTTGCAATACCCTTGTCTGTGTGAGTTGCCATACCCTTGTCTGTGTGAGTTGCAATACCCTTGACTTTATGAGTTGCAATACCATTGGCTTTGTGAGTTGCAATACCCTTGTCTATGTGAGTTGCCATACCCTTGACGGTGTGGGTTGCCATAGCCTTGGCTTTGTGAGTTGCAATACCCTTGGCTGTGTGAGTTGCATAACCCTTGTCTGTGTGAGTTGCAATAACCTTGGCTGTGTGAGTTGTAATACCATTGACTGTGTGAGTTGCCATACTCTTGGCTTTGTGAGTTGCAATAACCTTGGCTCCGTGAGTTGAAATACCCTTGTCTGTGTGAGTTGCAATAACCTTGGCTGTGTGAGTTCCAATACCCTTGGCTTTGTGAGTTGCAATACCCTTGTCTGTGTGAGTTGCAATGACCTTGGCTGTGTGAGGTGCAATACCCTTGACTTTATGAGTTGCAATACCATTGGCTATGTGAGTTGCAATAACCTTGGCTGTGTGAGTTGAAATACCCTTGCCTGTGTGAGATGCAATACCCTTGGCTTTGTGAGTTATTATACCTCTGTTGGTTATGGTACCTAGGGCTGTACGTTCTGTGGTACCCATATCTATAATGAATATGGTACCCATGACTGTGTTGGCATTGGTAACCTTCACTTTGGTAATCCCTAGCTGTACAGGCTATGGTGTCCATGGCTTTCTCAATGATATCCCAGACTGCGTTGTTTATGGTACACGCTGCTGACATGACACAAATATTGCTGAATGCGAACACTTTCAAACGATCACCTACGCGCCATGTCCTACTACAAATGCATATATGCGCACTATGCTATATAACGGCGACACAACAGCTGACAAGATATAATATTTTCAGCTCAATTTATCGAAACACCACAAAATACATGTGTAACGACATAGATGATAACTAATCATCTGAACACCAACAATTCAATTTAGACACCTATTCGTAATAAAAGTCAAACAGTAAATATTTACATTGGCCTATAATCTGTAAGTGTCGACACCTACCTGTTCAATATGCACCCTCAGCGTCTGTGAGCAGCTGCCAGGTAGAGAGCGACACTCACTCTACCCGCTAGGACCTAGTCCTACGTGAATAGTTTCACCTTAGCGCTGGATACTGTAGGCATGACAGTCCAGACATAGCTATGTATTCAGCCTTGTACAGACAGCCACTTGATGTTTAACGCATTCCAAATGAGGCTGGATATCACTGAGGACAAGTGAACACACTGTGTGGTAAGGACACGTATTGTCTGACACTCGATGGAGACCATTTCGACTGCTAGTTGCCATTGGTATCCTTGTTCTGGCACTACAAAAATGACTTGGTTTCCTGAAACCTGGAAACCATCCGTATAGTGGGTAATTGGGGAAACCAGTTGGTTTCCATTCACTGACACTGAGTAACTGAGTTTCCAACTAGATTCCATTTTGATTTTTGCATTTCTGTAAATGGAAACCAACAAGAAACTAAGGTTATAGGTTTCTTGTTGGTTTCCATTCCTGGAATTTGCAATTGAAGTTTCATTAAATGGAAACCAACATAAATCCAGAATATGTAGTTTCATGTTGGTTTCCTTTGCACTGTTTTGAACTAAGTAACTTAAAATTTCCAAGTGTTTGGCATGAAGTTGACCATCCTGGCATCCAGTTGGTATCCATTCATTGAAACTGGGTAACCTAGTTTCTTGATAGAATCCATAATGGATACTGGAAACTTATAGTTCCGGTAATGGAAACCAACATATTACAAACATCGAAGGTGTCGATCATCGAATGTTCCTGTCAAACCGGACACAATAATGTTTTCTATAACCACCATACCCGAAAAATATGTTAGTGACCTAGGTTATGGACGCTTTTAGCAAACAGCAAGATCAGCAACTTGGGACACCAGGAATTGACTTCACATATTTCATCAATGTGGGGAATCAAACCCAGGAATTCGGCGAACATACACTCTTCATGGCAATAATACACTATGTGTCCGGACTGTAATACCGGGTGTCAGAAACACCCGGCACCAATGATGTGAAGTAAACCATTGATCAATGACCAGACTAAAACAGCTGGAATGTCTACCCATAACCGTTTTGTACATGCCATTGGGATCGTGTGAGGTGCGTGGATTATTGATATACAAAGAGTAGCAACTGAGATATCCACGTCCAAACAAACCCTTCAAACCAAACTGCTGTCATAGATGATTACAAAATACCAGGGGCGGAGGGCACCTCAACACGCTTTGGGGCGAGGTCATGACTAATGGCGCTCTTGATATGTTCATCGTTATAGACCTACTGTGCATGCTACTCACATGCATTTCCTTAAAAGGTCGCAGCACAGACTATTACAAGAATATCTGTTTGATTTACTTTATCATTCTTTGGTTTATCCAAGTTCAGATTTATAGCAGCAGTCCCTGGTTAGCTCATAGTGTTGATCTCTGGTTACCGCATAGTATTGATCTCTGGTTAACTCATAGTATTGATCTCTGGTTAACTCATAGTATTGATCTCTGGATAACTCATAGTATTGATCTCTGGTTAACTCATAGTATTGATCTCTGGTTAACTCATAGTATTGATCTCTGGTTAACTCATAGTGGTTAGCTCATGAGTATTGATCTCTGGTTAACTCATAGTATTGATCTCTGGTTAACTCATAGTATTGATCTCTGGTTAACTCATGAACTCTGGTTAGCTCATGAGTATTGATCTCTGGTTAACTCATGATCTCTGGATAACTATTGATCTCTGGTTAACTCATAGTATTGATCTCTGGATAACTCATAGTATTGATCTCTGGTTAACTCATAGTATTGATCTCTGGTTAACTCATAGTATTGATCTCTGGTTAACTCATAGTATTGATCTCTGGTTAACTCATAGTATTGATAGCTCTGGTTATCTGGTTAAGTATTGATCTCTGGTTAACTCATAGTATTGATCTCTGGTTAACTCATGGTATTGATCTCTGGATTAGCTCATAGTATTGATCTCTGGTATTATCTCATAGTATTGATCTCTGGTTAACTCATGGTATTGATCTCTGGTTAACTCATAGTATTGATCTCTGGTTAACTCATGTATTGATCTCTGGTTAACTCATGAGTATTGATCTCTGGTTAACTCATAGTATTGATCTCTGGTTAACTCATAGTATTGATCTCTGGTTAACTCATAGTATTGATCTCTGGTTAACTCATAGTATTGATCTCTGGTTAACTCATAGTATTGATCTCTGGTTAACTCATAGTATTGATCTCTGGATAACTCATAGTATTGATCTCTGGTTAACTCATAGTATTGTTGATCTCTGGTTAACTCATAGTATTGATCTCTGGTTAACTCATAGTATTGATCTCTGGATAACTCATAGTATTGATCTCTGGTTAACTCATAGTATTGATCTCTGGTTAACTCATAGTATTGATCTCTGGTTAACTCATAGTATTGATCTCTGGTTAACTCATAGTATTGATCTCTGGTTAGTATTGATCTCTGGTTAACTCATAGTATTGATCTCTGGTTAGCTCATAGTATTGATCTCTGGTTAACTCATAGTATTGATCTCTGGATAACTCATAGTATTGATCTCTGGTTAACTCATAGTATTGATCTCTGGTTAACTCATAGTATTGATCTAACTCACTCATAGTATTGATCTGGATCTGATCTCTGGTTAACTCATAGTATTGATCTCTGGTTAACTCATAGTATTGATCTCTGGTTAACTCATAGTATTGATCTCTGGATAACTCATAGTGATTGATCTCCTGGATCTCTTAACTCATAGTATTGATCTCTGGTTAACTCATAGTATTGATCTCTGGTTAACTCATAGTATTGATCTCTGGATAACTCATAGTATTGATCTCTGGATAACTCATAGTATTGATCTCTGGTTAACTCGTAGTATTGATCTCTGGATAACTCATAGTATTGATCTCTGGTTAACTCATAGTATTGATCTCTGGTTAACTCATGTTAACTCATAGTATTGATCTCTGGTTAACTCATAGTATTGATCTCTGGTTAACTCATAGTATTGATCTCTGGATAACTCATAGTATTATTGATCTCTGGTTAACTCATGAGTATTGATCTCTGGTTAACTCATAGTATTGATCTCTGGATCTCTGGTTAACTCATAGTATTGATCTCTGGATCACTCATGAGTATTGATCTCTGGTTAACTCATATCTGGTATTGATCTCTGGTTAACTCATAGTATTGATCTCTGGATAACTCATAGTATTGATCTCTGGTTAACTCATAGTATTGATCTCTGGATAACTCATAGTATTGATCTCTGGTTAACTCATAGTATTGATCTCTGGTTAACTCATAGTATTGATCTCTGGATAACTCATAGTATTGATCTCTGGTTAACTCATAGTATTGATCTCTGGTTAACTCATAGTATTGATCTCTGATAACTCATAGTATTGATCTCTGCTAACTCATAGTATTGATCTCTGGTTAACTCATAGTATTGATCCCTGGATAACTCATAGTATTGATCTCTGGATAACTCATAGTATTGATCTCTGGTTAACTTATAGCATTGATCTCTGGTTAACTCATAGTATTGATCTCTGGTTCACTCAGAGTATTGATCTCTGGTTAACTCATAGTATTGATCTCTGGTTAGTATTGATCTCTGGATAACTCATAGTATTGATCTCTGGTTAGTATGATCTCTGGATAACTCATAGTATTGATCTCTGGATAACTCATAGTATTGATCTCTGGTTAACTTATAGTATAGATCTCTGGTTAAGTCATAGCATTGATGTAAGGTTAACTCACAGTATTGATATAAGGTTAACTCTCTGTATTGATACAAGGTTAACTCGCTGTATTGATATACGATTAACCTAACAGTATTGATACAAGGTCACCTCACAGTATTGATATAAGGTTAAGTCGCAGTATTGATGTACGGTTAACTCACAGTATTGATATACGGGTAACTCACAGTATTGATACAAAGTTAACTCACAGTATTGATACAAGGTTAACTCACAGTATTGATACAAGGTTAACTCACAGTACTGATTCAAGGTTAAGTCACAGTTTTGATATAAGGTTAACTCATAGTATTGATATACGGGTAACTCCCAGTATTGATATAAGGTTAAGTCACAGTATTGATATACGGTTAACTCACAGTATTGATATAAGGTTAACTCACAGTAATGATATACGGGTAACTCACAGTATTGATGTAAGGTTACCTCACAGTACTGCTATAAGGTTAACTCACAGTATTGATATAGGTTAACTCACGTGGACTCCCACCAGGACAGGGCGGATGTTTTGCTGTATTGTAGCATGTTCAGTTATCTCTGTACCTATATTTTTTATATTTTTCCTGTTTTTCGCTGTTTTTTCTGGACATGCTCCGTGTACTTGAAAGACTAAATAACCAGCAAGATGAAAGTTCTTAACATTTTTTCAAGTGCATACGATGTTCCATCAAAAGAACAATGTCTCTTCGAGGACGGGCCTGTAGTCTCCCCGAGTCACACCTGAAGTCGTGGAACCTGAAGTCGTCGATACCTTTCTGCATCTAGCTGGAAATATCTAGTTAGGAGCCTTCCACAGGTGAGGCATACACATACGCCTTATTGTGAGTCTACCTTTTGCCGTACAGGATAAGAAGTTCCTATTTTCGAAACCCACCCTGAATGTGTTTGGATATAATATTGTTGTCGATGGTCTCAGGAGTGTTCTCTATTTCTATTGAAATTGTATAGAACTACTAGGCATATCTGTAATGTTTAACTGTATATATGCTACAAACAAAAAGTATGGGAACACCCAAAAATTTGATAGTCATATAACCTAAACGTGGTGAGGTCATTTATACTCTAAGATAAATCCAATGTTTGGTGTGCTTAATGCGCACTATAAACAACATGTTGGAACATGCAGAGAAGCAACTGATTCAATATCCGTCGCGTTTGAGTGAAATGAAACATTGTTAAAAACAGCGAAAAACAAGGGTGCTGAGAAACACCAACACCATGTTTGATTTCAAAGCCCATACACAACAGCCTAGTGCATGTGGAAGTCGTGAGAGGCGACTAATGGGATCGGGTGGTCAGGCTCGCTGACTTGGTTGACACATGTCATCGCTTCCCAATTGCGTAGACTGATGCTCATGCTGTTGATCACTGGATTGTCTGGTCCAGACTCGATTATTTACAAACCGCCGCCATATAGGTTGAATATTGCTCAGTGCAGCGTTAAACAACAAACCAACTAGCCATTAGGTTTTTTAAGCAGTTTGAGATTATAAAATGATTTGTTGTCAACCACCAATATGATTCAGCAGCATGTGGTATTACCATTTGATAACGATTCATAAACGAACTCTGGTTTAAGCAGAGATGCCTTATGAATATGGGAGGATTCTGTCTCTTCAATTATTAGTACCGCTTTCCTGAGTCTTCAGTTTGATTATCCCGGCTTTTTAATATTTTAGGTGCGCCTCTGTAAGGTGTGCTGTTCGTATCCTTGTGTTGACTATCAATAACTGTATCGGGTTGTATCGGGTGTGACAGCTTCAGCCGGTATGAATTTGTCACTGTCTTCACTGGGCCAGTTAGATAGTCTGTGTACTTATTGTCCTTGCTGTAGTTGGTCATTAATATGTGTTGTATACCTGTTTTGTTACAGCTGCGGGTTAACGCTGAGGGAATTATCTTTCTCAGCTTCGTGTCGACAAAATGTTAGGACAATGCCGTCAATGATGATGGTCAAAGTATACATATGGGCCTTGTCCTTAGCGAACAGCCATAAATGAAAAATCAACATTATTATCTCATTAATATGAATGTTGTATTTATGGATACAAAGCAGAATATGTACACGCCTTGTTGTACGTAAAATATGTACTCATGATATAATCAGAATTGTACAGACGACTCTGTTTTCCAGCAGACATTTTTCTATGAATGTGGAGAGGGTGTTGTCTTTTGTATTTACGTACAAGTGGATATTGGGATCGAGATTCACGGTCCCCAATTTGAGACAAGCTTTGGTTTTAAGTCTAAATCTTAAAAGTTAAGACAAATGTGGACTAAAGTTACTTTCCTGATCCCGGAACCTGGAATGTTTCAATCTATCACAGTCTCATCTGTTCTCAATGCCCGAACGTGGGACAAGGTATGTTTTCAATAATTTAATGTTTATATATACACTCTTAACAAGAAATTGTATTCATTGAAAGGTCAACATTCTCATGCCACCTCCAGCAACCGCTCCAAGGACAGTCTTAGCCGTGTCCGCAATCCAGCTGAACACTGACCGGAAGCCGTCTCGGAGCTTGAGACGCAACCCTCTGTTGACGCACTGTGACGTCACCTCGTCGTTGTTGATGGACACAACATATTTGTTGGACTGACTTCCGGAGTAGAATTTGACAGTGAGGTATCTCCCATAGACCTCCATACTGGCGTTCCTCCACACCCACTCGGGCTCCCCGCCTAACACGGAGTAGCAGCACTGTAGCACTTTCCGGTCCACGCCGAGCAGGCGGTGCTGGTTCTTTTGGATGAAGTTAGAGATGTCAGAACAATCAATGTAAGGGTCACAGTCCACAGCCTGAAAACGATTTCATATTAATCTTTGGGGGTTAAATAATAAACGAAAGCAAGTCTTTCACCAGACTCACAGGATCGTGACAATATAATAGTGACATACAGTTAAGCTTGTAAGAAAGGTACGATACTTTATGGATAAAAACTATCTTGTCATTCATCAACTTCTAAATATCAATCAAACAGAGTTAAGCTTGGACAATCTGTTTGGACCTAAACCTTCAACATACATATGAACTCAGTGTCTCATCTGCGAAAATACCTGCCAGTCTTTTAGATTGAAAGGAGGGGTGAAAAGGCTGGACCAGACAATCCAATGATTACACCACGACTAGACATTGCCAGACAGTAGCTGACCGAAAGAGCACTGATAACACAACACAGGAGGTCGTTACACCCTCGTCCTAGCGTTGATACACTATAAAATGGTGGTCAGGACATATGCTCGATACAGAAATCCTAACATTGGAGCAACAACCAGGGAACATTCTGTTTAGCAGCACCTTCAGCAAGAATAGCTCTCTATTATGACTCGGATCCAAGTACCAATGCACGTATTAATATGGCTTTCGTAAAAGTTATTCAGGCGTTAACGAATCTTGGCACGGGTACTACCGTGTAGTCAAAAGAGAGTAACTCTTGACAATTATCAATATGTTCAAACGTGATCAATGTCACAGCCTTTTGCTTCTGGTTCAAGGAACATAATCCCACGGACAGAGGCCTTGACAGCGCGTCTACTGGTGGATGTTACAAGTCAACAATCAGAATTATCTGGGCCCTGTAATCAGTAGTCATTATCCTGGGGCTCGATCAGCCAAGCGACACTTGAACAGAAGACAACTGTTATATTCGTTTGTGCTAATAGTACAGTAGAATCTGTCAAATCCAAACTCTTTGTAAACCGGTTTCTCCATAATCCGGACTACTCTCTGAGTCCCGGCAAAATTATTCTTAATTCGCCATTAAAGCTTGCTTTATAATCCGGATTCTCTCAATTACGGATTACGGACTAAAATAACAGTTCCGACAATCAACTTGCTATGAGAACAATGCTTTGTAATCCCGACGTAGCTGACTAAAATACAAGTCCTTTGAATAAACATCTTCTGTTGGGGTCTTAATCGCGACCAGCACAGACCACAAGACAACTAGCAGTTACCGTTCTAATACAGATTTTATTGACCCCTGATGTAGGAACCTGTATATAGACCATCAGGACCATCTGGAGACGGTGTCGTGGATGTTGTGACACCTTGCTTTACTGTAGTGATATGGACGTAAACGATAGTAAATGTGTACTTACCGCAGACACCATGTCATCGTCATCGTCCTGCAAACACAAAAGATTATAGTATTTATAAAGTGAAATCATGACTTCTAGACGTGATCTCCATAACTATATATAGTATAATATATAGCGTGGGGGCTCTCTCATGCTTAGCAAGCACTTCAAAGTGTATTCGATAACCCATTGTAATAAAATCTGTAATGTTATCAGTAATGCTATCAGTAATGCTATCAGTAACATTATCAGTAATGTTATCAGTAATGTTATCAGTAATGATAATATGAGCCTCTTACTGTTTTGGTGCACACATAAATTTTCCAGGTCAGATTTGAAAACTATGAAACTGTTTCCACAATCCCAAGAAATATCTGCTTGAAGAAGACACCAATGTAGACACCCGGTGTCGTCAACCACTCGATAGTGTTGCAAACCACATGTTTATCACACAGTCCGAACGTACAATTGATTCCGAGATATCCTATTATTTTTTAATGGGATTTAATTTTGCATACAATTTCATCCAATCCAGACAAGACATTATTCCAGAGTCATCCCTGAATATACACTGATGTGGCTGGGGAAATGCGAAGGTTGAGGAAATGCGAAGCTAGAAACAGGTTTTTGTCAGCAAAACAACGGATGAAGTGTTATGGGCTAAGATACTGCGCTCCACCGGTGGTAGGCTTCAATCGATGACACCGTTTATAAACACTGGGACATTGTCCGCACCTCATACGTAATTACTTCTAGACTAATTAAACATGAAACATAGATTAGGCCCCAGTAGGGAAGTGTTGATTAAATGACAAGATCTCCCTTAGTCTTTCATTAAGTGTTTTAAACACTGTTAACAGGCCGCCATGGTAGTTGTTCCACTGCATGGTGTCAGGCTGTACATACATTATGTATACATTTGATTAGGGATACAACATACTCGGTAAAAATTCGAAATGTTGTTTTTAGATTTATGGTGGACATATCCAGATTTAACACATCAGTGTCTGATGCAGTTCCCTGTTCTGACCACTTGTGTCCGTGGTGTTTTCTAACTTGATTGATTTGCCATTGTATGTGTTTATGAGGGTGACACAGGGTGGTATCGAACGTCGAACAGTTGTCATCACTATCTGATACCGATTAATCAACACATTACTATGATATTGGAGGAACCGTACAATAGATTTTAGCAGTCATATCTTCTGATTGTGGAAATGAGTTTTGTTTCAGCAAGTTGACCCTTGCAGGATATAAAACGATATAATCCATTCATATATTCTGTTATTTAAAACAACACATTTCGTTTCAACACATTGCTACGCCTGAATCAGACAGTATTTTTAGAACTGTCTAGCTTGATACGTACATTCTTCATTAAATAACATGCATGAATCAGTTAGTACTATACCAAAGAATAGATGAATATTTTAATAATGGAGAAGTATTGTTTTTTCAACTGAACTGTATCGTTAATCATAGGTTTTGTTTCATAAATGCATGTGCATATATAAGATTGCAATAATCCAGTCAGGTCCAAATTGGAACCACGTGGTACGATCCTTATACTTACATACAACGGGAAGGACTTGCTTGACCTCTGAAAAGACACAATGACATTTACAATCTTGTGCATGTCTCACGTCAGACGAAGTAGTCGCTCAGACAACACTGTTTGACATCTGGAGACATGGACGTGAGTTACTCACATGGTTACCCTCATGTTTATCAAATACTGAGTGAGTATGGTTTTACGCCGCTTTTAGCAATATTCCAGCCATATCACGGCGGCGCGGGGGGAGCGGTATGGGGTGGGGGCACCAGAATACAATTAAACACTTGATATGAGGTTAATACGGCCCGAAAAACTTAACAGTCATTAAGACTCGGTTTTAAATGTGAAAATATCCAGGGCAAGCCTTAAATATGCGTATCAACTGTTGAAATGTTTATGCATGATAAAAGTCCTTCAATTGTTGAAATACTTAAACAAAGATACATTAAGGCTGACACAATCAGTATGAGCTTCACACATTGTACCCATGTGGTGATTCGAACCCGGTTCTTCGGCGTGACAAGCAAACGCTTTAACCACCCCATCGTCATCTATTTATCAAATGCTTCCATGGCGCCTCTGTAGGAGATTGCCTGTTTGTACAGTGAACACAACAAATGTTCATATGCACGAGGCGATTATGTTATAATGTATGCTTCTTCTGTAATTCGAGATTTGATAAAATGACAGACAGTGATTTCTTCTCTCTTGATACCATTTCTTACTGGTAATGAATCTCCGCTATAGCTGAATACAATGAGGTCTCCTTACACATGTCGGGTTGAAGTCACGCCGTGTATCTGTCATCAGCTTAAGTGACTAGGGCAGAAATATTGCGGAACAAATAAGTCAACTAAATACCTTCGGGTGGCTGTGTAGTAGAGCGGTTACTGACTTCGGTCAATGCAGAGGTTTCAATTACTACTCTTACAATGTAAAAACCTCAGGGCAGTTTCATAATTAGTCACTTGTTCATATTGACCTCAGGGAGTTTCATAATTAACCACTTGAACACATTGACAGAGGGGATTGATGCACGTGGTTCATTTAGCCCAGGGAGCGTTGTGCACAAGCACTTACACACATTGACCTTAGGGAGTTTTTTGCATGTGAACACATCTTCACTCAGGGAGTTTCATGCATTTGAACACATCTTGCTCAGGGAGTTTCATGCATGTGAACACATCTCCACTCAGGGAGTTCCATGCATTTGAACACATCTCGCACAGGGAGTGTCATGCATGTGAACAGATCTCGCTCATGGCGTTCCATACAAAGTATGTCACCAGTCGTTTTCAGGATCAAAGACATATTGGTTAATCATAAGTAGTATCACCTGTACGTTTACAGAGCCCCTTAGTTGTCGTTATTCGTGGAATCAAATCCTATATAAATTGTCACTAACGTCTTTTCCCCCTTGTTACTGACACAACCAGGGTTCAGTGAAGACAAACGCTCACCAGTACTGGCTGTATGATATACAACTGGGAGTTAGATTCCACACAATGTTTCAAACCCATTTTATCCCGGTAAAGCTGGTAAATTGGCGTATGAGCGGCGTATTCCAAATACGTTGTACAAGGCATGTCTTCTACCATTTGATTACCAAGTATTCAGAATAGATTCAGAAATATAGGAGTACACTGCTCAGTTGTTTGTACACGCTGGAGGTGAGGTGAGGTGAGGTGAGGTGAGGTGAGGTGAGGTGAGGTGAGGTGAGGTGAGGTGAGGTGAGGGAGGTGAGGTGAGGGAGGTGAGGTGAGGTGAAATTCGGTTTAACGTCGTGCTTAAGAATATTTCGCTCATATGACGACGTGCATGCGTGTGTTAAGCTGGTTTTAGAGTGCTAGCCCACTGAGATACCATGCCGCAGTGAAGCATGAATACCCCACTCAGACACATTATACTGACCAGTCCTTGTTGTACCCATTAATGCCGAGCGCCAGGCAGGGACCAACAAGTACCATATTTTAACGTGTTTTGGTATGACGCGGCCGGGGATGGAACCCGCGACCTTCCGCTCTCCGGGCGGACGCTCTAACCTCTACACCACGGAGGCGGTCCGTACACGCTGGAAGGTAAGAGCTATAGGACAAGACGGTAAAACAGATAGATACTATAAAGGCACTTACACTGAACATGCTTGTGTGTTATCTCGTGTATGTAAAACGCCTTAAATGTTCTGAGTTGAAAATACTACCCAGGACACTCCTAAAAAACCCAGTCTGTAGAACTACGCAGTATCCCTGTAGACCATTGGGGAGTCACGTGATTGGAAGTATCGATGGCATGGTAAAACCCATCCGACATACCAGCACAGAGGCTGGACAGGGAAACCACCTTCATTACGTTCTAGCGGAGTCAACATGGGCAACACGGTACGTGAACATTTATATTGTCTCACCACATATGTCATAAACACACCAAGCTCCTATAGTGAAACAACAACGAGTAGTTATGACTGTTTTTCGTGGTGCCACATCTTCGTTACAGAGTAAGTTCTTCACGCATCAGCACACGCATGACAATGTACACCCGAGACATTCGTGGAATTCAGCGTGGATCGATATTTGTTTACACGAAACGTATTCTGGAGCAGGTATTACGTTTCAAGGTCGGGCGACAGAGCGTTGACCGCAACAAAAACAATCCACGCCTCAACGCACATCGCTGTTGTTGCAGAGACTTAGGCAATACAAGTCCCTGAGGTAGTTCTTCGTCGAATTCTAACTAAATGTGGAAAATTGTCACTTGTCCTGCGGTAGTTTAGTCGAGTTGGAGTCTCTGGAGGCTTCTGTGATTCCTGAAATTCACAAATGTTAATGAACTACTTCTTGGACCAATCATTCTACTTCCTGTTCACTGGCGTAGGATTTGTCTATTTCATAAGCCGCTCCTCTCATTGGTTCATAAATTTGTCAAGAGTCCTGAAACACTGATATAAGAGCGGGGTTAATCGCGAGGAACATGAAACACGCACGACTATTGTGGAATTACTGCATAGTATTTATAAATCTTATAACGAGAATCAGTTTCTGTTGGTGGGATTCCATTTATGAACAACTAAAGAATCATTTTTAGCAGATAGTTTAAGAACATTAGCTTGTTTTGCAATAAGATAAACACTTGGTGTTCATATATGAACATATACCCTATATATGTATAACGAATGACATAAGCGTTTCAATTACTGTTCATTAATTGTTCGCATCATTCAGTAGAAACAAAATACTTGAAACATTTACAAAATTGTGAGTACAAAACCTACAGTTAGATTTGGACATGAACATGACGTCGCATAAATAAACAATGGATTTGGTCAAATTAAAGCTTATTGTCAAACTGTCAAACAGCTAAGAAACACGTTTGACAACTGAAGTCGCTCTGTCTCCATTGTAGGGCTATGTTAACTTCAGACTGGATCCAGTAACTGGTAAACTATTGACCAAATATTACATACAGGCAACGTAAGTCGTAGGTCGTTTCTGTTTTGTCTCAGTTCTTGTTCATGTCGGGGCGGTAGGGTAGCCTAATGGTTAAGGCGTTGGCTCGTCACGCCGAAGACCCGGGTTCGATTCCCCACATGGGCACAATGTGTGAAGCCTATTTCTGGTGTCCCCCGTTGTGATATTGCTGGAATATTGATAAAAGCCACGTAAAACCCAACTCACTCACTCACACTTGTTCATGTCCAGGTGAAGTACTGTATGGCTGACGTACCAGGTGTGTCTTGGCTTGGAGCCACTATTTCCTTCACGTGTCTGTTGTGGGGGCGCCTCATGGTTAAGCCTTCGCTCAGAGGTCCGAGTTCGATTCTAGATTGGTGGACAATGTAGGCAGTTCTCTGGCATCATGCTAAAAGCCACACAAAAGTGTATGCTGGATTGCATTAATTATTGCCAAGTTAACAAACGCATGAAAACATGTCACAGGTGATGACATTCTATAATACAAAAATCGAAATCGATATATTAATGTACTCAAATTCAAACTGTTTATTGGCAATTCTTACTGAAATATCCTTTCCGATGTTTCCTCTGATTCATTCTATGATGTGATGAATACAGAGTGTCCTGTGTTTCCTCAGGTAATGAACCCGTGAAGGTCCGAGTTAGAATTGACCTTCAGTAACCCATGCTTGTCATAAGAGGCGACTAACAGGATCGGTGGTCAGGCTCGCTGACTTGGTTGGCACGTGTTGTCGTATCCCAATTGCGCAGATCGATGCTCATCTGTTGATCACGCGATTATTTACAGACCGCCGCCATATAGCTCAAATATTGCTGAGTGTGAGGTTAAACAAGCCAATGAAACAACCAACCCCAGGTTAGGATTATCAGTGACACATGTAAACGTTTCCTCAGTGATATAACACAAATACAGCAATGAGTTACATCACACTCAATCTTCTTAATAAACCATCTCTTTTCTAGACTGGACGCAGCGACAAGATGGCAGCTCACAAACCGTCGGTTTTGGTACGTTCCACTCCATAAGACGTATTCTAGCCTGGATATGATTAACGCATGGTTGAATATGTAATTTATATTAGTAGCTGTTAAAGTGCAGTGTGAATCTTAGCAAAGTGTAATTATTTTGCGTGCATCGTTAAATTAAGTTTCCGTTGAAGTATACTGAGCCATCTCTGTTTCTATCTGCTGCTCCTCCTTGAGCTGCTCCTGTGTATATTGCCGGCTTCAGCAGGAACTGGAAAACAACAACTATGGATGTGTATTTCCTGTTCCAGCTTGAAGTAGAGGAAGTCAACAAGAGGACACTGGGGAAACTGATCATCAAGACTGTTGGCCACGAGGGTACTGAGACGGATGAAGAGGGGACGTATCTCCGGCGACAGATACAAGTCTGCATCTCAAGTCTGGAACATCACCATTCTGCCTTGTGGAAGAACGCGAGGGTGTCGTTCTACGGCCTACAGGGTCATGAGTACGTCATACAGTCCGGCGGCGGTCGTCATCGGTTTGTGGTCTTCCTGGACGCCAAAGACGAAGTTACTCTGACTAAACTAAAATAGGACGTTTTTTAAGAATGCGAAATGCTGATTATTCATGTGTACACTTCTTTAAATACAGTCTTGTTGTTTCAGTAAGTATGGTATTTGTTTAGTCGCGTCATGTCTCTATTAGCTATTGAGAAGACAGTGGTTTGAGTGCCTTACCCGACAAGTGGATGTATGTCATGTAAGCGACGTAAAGAGATTAGAATTTGTTACTTCTGTGAAAGACGAAACTGACTTGAAGTGAACGACCATTTTCTTTGCTGGATACAAGGATATATGTGTATCCATCTGGAAGGTATTTCGGTCGCGAAGTTAAGTCTGTGTTGCTGGTGGGGCACTGACTGCCCAGAAGGTCTGCAGTTCGCATATTTCCTACAAAAAAGGTTCAGCTCTTGGAGCATCTTCTCACCCCTTTATGATAGGAATCACATATATGTATGAAGATTAGAGGGAAAGGCAGTGAATGTAGATGGCATCACACTAACATAGACATTAGTGGCGATCAGCAGTGAGGAAATTTCCATATGTGAAGCAACAACCAGTGAAATATGTCAGCAGTAGATGTCTGATGGTCACTTATTCTTGCTGTCGTCGCTGCTACTGCAGTAGCATATAATCATTTGAAATCTACCACAGCAGCAGCAACAACAGCAACAGCAGTAACCATTAGATATTTACTGATATTTACACTTCCATCCAGTGCTGTTATTGAGGGATTCAATAAATAACCTACAGATTGGACATTATTTTTACGCAAATAACATCGACATGATTGTGTGAGATGATTTGGGATCGGAGGCCAACTTTCAGACGCACCTCCCACAACAAGAACGAGATTATTTTCCTGCTGTTACACAAAACTTATTTCAAGAATCATGGAGTCACGTGACATTGCTCTTAATTCCCATTATTAACAGGGTTTCAAAAATCCCATCGCCCGACGCCCGGGACAAGTCAGTTTTCATTTCGGGCAATCAAATAATGGTATCTTACTTGTCCGTGGGCTACTAGATAATTTCCGCTTATGTTTTCAAACTGCAAATAATCTTTGATTTAATTTCATATCTGCTCAAAATGTAGCTATTAAATTTCGCAATGATAATAAAGTAGAGTTATCTTTCTTTGCTATTTATCACTTTTCAATAAATAGTCCAGTAAACATTAACATCAAATACCATGTTGATTTCTTCTTTCATAATTACAGCATCATATATACAGTATAGTTATTTTTATAAAATCAGGACAAGTGGAAAATTAGTCAGGACAAGTTACTTTCTTAAAGTCACTTGCCCTGTGGCAAGTGGCTTTTTAAAAAAAATTGAACCCCTGTTATTAGCAAATAACAATGGCTGAGACTACATTGTGAACCTCGGACTGTTTCATTGTTTACTTTTATGTTCTTTGACAACTGGGCCGGAAGTGGAGACCTCTGTTCACTCTCACTGTGGAACACAATGGACACAGGCTACTTCACACATACACAGCTATACTGAAAACATACATTTGTTTAGAAATAATAGATTTACATCCATGATATTGCAACATGTGTTATATTTGGGATTACACTTTCTTAGTAAAGTACAAATTCTAGTACTTTTTTAGTTGAGTCCCATGCGGGATTCGAACTCACACCCTCAGCAGTCAGGCACCCAATCGCCAAAGAAGTACTAGAAAAGTACTAGAATTTGTACTTTACTAAGAAAGTGTAATCCCAAATATAACACATGTTGCATTACACCACTTTCTAAATGGCATTGTGTAATCATCCATGATATTGCAAATGGATCTCTATACATAACGGGAATTGAGCCTCAATACAGATTGGATACTGTTGAGGTGATATTTGAGTGAGTGAATATGGTTTTATGCCGCTTCTAGCAGTATTCCAGCAATAATTCAAGGGCGGAGGATACCATAAATAGGTTTCACACAATGTACCCATGTGGGGAATCGAACCCGGACCCGAGCGGACGCTTTAACCACTATGTTGCCGTGATGTTGCTGGAATATTGCTTAAAGCGGCGTAAAACCAAACTCAGTCAGTCAGTCAGTGAAAGCGGTTGTTGAATCGCACATGCAAATATCACTAGGTTGGTCTTCATCAGCCTGGCGCCCTGAAGCGACACCGGGTGTTCCGTTGAAGACATAGCAGCAGTGTAGTGATGACATGGAAGGTGAGACATCTCTGGAAAGACACCGGGCGTTCTGTTGAAGAGATAACACTGTACGGATAGCGAAAGGCGTAGCATCAGTTGAAGCTAAACAAATGCGACCGATCTGGCAGGACATGGGTTTTCTTCTCAGGAAAACTTGGAGTCATTTTTCAGGGATCCATTCATACAATTTTCACTGCTATTTAGCCATTCACGTCTGGTGGAACATGTGTCCATACTGTAAGGGATATATTGCATCTTTGCATACTGACGTCCCATTGATACAAAACCAACATAAGCAGTTTGTGTAATGTTTTGTGTGATGGATTGTATATCATGGTTGATGTATGTAGGTGTATCAACAGATTGTATATCATGGTTGATGTATGTAGGTGTATCAACAGATTGTATATCATGGTTGATGTATGTAGGCGTATCAACAGATTGTATATCATGGTTGATGTATGTAGGTGTATCAACAGATGGTATATCATGGTTGATGTATGTAGGTGTATCAACAGATGGTATATCATGGTTGATGTATGTAGGTGTATCAACAGATGGTATATCATGGTTGATGTATGTAGGTGTATCAACAGATTGTATATCATGGTTGATGTATGTAGGTGTATCAACAGATGGTATTGTAAAACATGGACACAACTCACCTGTATATTGATCAAAGCACAAAGTAAAGCCCAGGCGAAATTGCTCAGAGATAAAACAATGTAATATAAAGACATTTCGTTACTGCCGTCACCATACCGATATCCCACTGTATCATTCCCAGCCTTTCGAGATGACCTGGGGATGTGTCCTGCGACAAAAACTCACTCACTCACTCTGAGCTGAATGCCTTAACGTAATGACGTCACAGGATAATCACTGTTGACCTGCAAATCGGGTTGTGTATCTAGAATTATGAGATGAAGTATTCAGGTTGACACGTGAGCGGAGTGCTAGCATCTTTGCACTGACCCGTTTGTGGCTGCATCTTTGTGGAATTCCCTCCTGCTCCTACTCCTACTCCTGCTCCTACTCCTGCTACTACTCCTGCTACTACTCCTGCTCCTTCTCCTGCTCCTACTCCTGCTCCTGCTCCTGCTCCTGCTCCTGCTCCTGCTCCTACACCTGCTCCTGCTCCTGCTCCTGCTCCTGCTCCTGCTCCTACTCCTGCTCCTGCTCCTGCTCCTGCTCCTGCTCCTGCTCCTACACCTGCTCCTGTTCCTGCTCCTGCTCCTACACCTGATCCTGCACCTGCTCCTGCTCCTGCTCCTGCTCCTGCTCCTGCTCCTGCTCCTGCACCTGCACCTGCTCCTGCTCCTGATCCTGATCCTGATCCTACACCTGATCCTGATCCTGATCCTGCTCCTTCTCCTGCTCCTGCTCCTACTCCTGCTCCTACTCCTGCTACTACTCCTACTCCTTCCCCTGCTCCTACTCCTACTCCTACTCCTACTCCTGCTCCTGCTACTACTCCTGCTACTACTCCTGCTACTACTCCTTTTCCTGCTCCTACTCCTACTCCTGCTCCTGCTCCTACCCCTGCTCCTGCTCCGGCGAATATGCATGTTTGTTTCGACAACGTAAATATGTGGTACGATCACCTACTTGTCATACAAGTCATTTTTAGAACAAGTTCTCGGGAGATGATTAACGTCTGCAGGACTTGTAGCAACAGCAACTAAGATGGGCATCCCCTGGTCATCATAGCCTTGGGTGGACCGGAACCGGATATTAGTAACGAGGAAACCAATCGCCTCCTGTCAGTTCATCAACTCTAAGAATCCCCTCATTCCTGAGAGTTCAATACGAGGTGTTAGCATGGTGAGAAAAACAGTGGTGATATCTACCTTCCTCTAACTCAAGACAGGTTTGAACGAGATCCCATCAAATTAAAGTTCTTGACATCACCCAAATCCCGGATTCTAAATGCCATAAAAAGACATGACAAATCCTTTTTCTGTCAATTACAAATGTGACGAGTGGAGAGATCAAACAAACTAAAATAGTTTTAATATTGGCAGTCTATCCAAAGGTACACATGTGCAAAACAAGTATCATTGTATATGGTTAAAAGTTCTTACTTTGGTTATACAATTGTTCCTGTTCCAATTCATTCCTCAGAATATAAGCACGTAAATCCATCAAATGAAATTCACTGTAAGACTTCCGGTAAGACTTCCGGCCGTATCCCAACCAATTTTTAACCGACATGGCATATTCAGAAAGTCAGTTTAAGCTTACCTTTCATTTCACTTCCGACCTGGGCACTGATCACTTTACCTTGCTTGAAAAAGGCAAAAGCCCCAGCTACAATTATATAACCTCATCGTTGTTTTATTACCCCAGCATAATTATAGACAATGGGCAGTGGTCAGTGGTCAGCATAGCTTCTGAGTCAGGGTGAATAGGTATTTAGGGAATATAAATATATTTTAGAATCACATATAAATATATATTATACAGATTCTCATAACACAAAACATAGTCACCAGGGTCTTTCTATTCGCGTCAAAGATAGGTAGGTAGGTAGGTAGGTAGGTCGGGGGTAGGTAGGTAGGTAGGGCGTAGGTAGGTAGGTAGGTAGGTAGTAGGTAGATAAGGTTTTAGGGCGACCTTGGGCCTTAAAAGGCTTATATGTGCCCAACACTTAACAAACTGTTATATTTTTGTTCAGTTAAATTACGTCGTACTGACCCGTATTAACGAGGAAGTCTAAAACAGCTCTTTGTATGCAACCACACATTAACTTATCGCCAAATATTGCGTTCATTGAAAAAGTATTTTGGATTTTGTTAAGCACAATTTCTTTAAGTGCCTTACGTGGGTTTTCATGAGCTGGACATTCAATGAGGTAGTGCTGAACTGTTTCTGGGCAGTGTAAGTTACAGCTTTCACACAGAGGAGATAGGTCTTTATCTAAAATACTT